GTGCGTGCGTGCGTGCGTGCGTGCGTGTCGGGGTAAGCCTTAGCCTGGTGCTCTGATTCAGACGCTGATCTTACTTCCCGGTTTCGGAGATTCCAACGTTCTGACACCTACTAAGCTCGACATACTGCGATCTTTTCAAACAAGGCGCATATTTTCGTGCTTGCAAACTGGCCATCCATTTAAACTAGGAGCATAATAATCATATCCAAAAAATTAGGCATATAGATCAAGTTGCGTTGACAGCAAAACCTGGCAGTCCATCGCACTTTACCTTAAAAGTGGCGGTCTTCATAACAGAAAAATAAAGGCTCTCTTCCCACCCACTACCCACTCCCCTTAATTCCCCAAACCTGCGCTTTCCCCTTTTCCCCAAAAACTGAACAACATACAACCAGAGAGTGTTATACAACGAAACAGCTACCCCCTCTTAAGGTTAGAAGACGAGCATACATAAATACAGTGTACATGTAACAGAAGTAGTACAGTAGACTGGTTGTGTATAGACATACCTTCAAACAAATGAATATTATAATGTATTTTAATTGACGGCAGATTATGATTATGGAACAGGCATTATAATGAGGCCTTTATACACCATTTCACAATATACATGTGAACAACGAAGACGGATATAAAATGAAACGAGATGTTCCATGATAATGGTCGAGAAAAGGGCGGATAATAGCGGTAGTGAGAATAGTGAAACATGTCGGCCTCGGTCTGAGATATAAAAGCCTCGGCACGACAAGCAACACTCTGCAAATACCAGACAGGAAGGTGTTCCCCAACCCGGAACCTTAACTCCTCACGGGACTTCCGTGTCTGCGTACTATTAAATGTAAAAACATTTAGGTAAGCTAGTTAGTATGGTCACTGTTTACTTGAGTGGGAGAGACACACCTCGACATAATTATAACGGTACTGTCAGTGGCGCCCTCCAACCAGTCTGGTCATTGCAACACGGAAAAACCACCCTCCTTGCGATGTAACTGACTTACTAACAGTCGAAATTATCTCGGACGGCCACCAACAGTTGAGGAGAAAAATAGTTATCTTAGACCGGTGGGCGTCTTACACAATGTCATTATAAAGTAAAAAAGCAAGGGGGGAGAGGATGGCAAGTGGTCGTTTTTACAGGTGATTGTCCTATACAGGTAGCCGTTAGAGTAAAGTCAACTGTATTTCCTCAAGA